TGTTTCTTCATTAAAAATGTATTACAAAACTCTGAAATCCAAAGTGCATATCAATATTATAGTAGGCACTTGAGGTTTACATTCCTCAGATTGATCTTGCTCCTGTGTAAAGTCTGCTTCAGTACAGCCAGCTGGGTTTTTTGTAGTTGTTGGTTTGTTGGTTGCTTTTTAAAATTTCTGTGCCCATGTTGAAATAATCTATTTAAGAATATAGCAGTGTAAGCAATGCTCTTTTTCTGTAGAACAGATCTATCTTCTAATGCGGGGAAAAAAAAGCTCGAAGCTTGACGTTATTGTTCCATTTTCGAAGACATATCTTTAATCAGTAGATTTCTCTGATTCACTGCTGGTTTGACAACATCGAAACTACAGAAGCTGCACCTTCTTCTGTCTGAGTTGAATTTGTTCCTGTATAGCGATATGAATAAATAGAGCATCTGCAACTACTCCTGACATGACAAGGGCTATCAGTCCTCACGCTTCAGGGTACATAATCTGATAACCAGCTGATGTAAGGGAGAAATATCCCCCACTGGTACAATATTGACTAATTGGATTCATTATAAGCCTTTTATGTCTTTCTCTAAAACCCCCTGCATTAGCCACTAGACGGACCAGCAGCTTGTTCTGGCATAGCAATTCCTGTGTATCTAATCCACAGAACAGTTGGCAGTGGGTGATGTGGCACCTGAAAGGGCCACTGAATTAGCAGCATACTAGCTGGAAGGGACTCTGCCATGGTGGCAAAGAGTTCCAGGTGAAGCCTCAGTCACACAGTAGGGAAGAAGACTATGGGTTATTCGATTTGTGGTGTTCAAAACGAAAGTATATGCCATCTGACCTGAGATCCAGGCAAGGACAAGAAAGGGAAAGGAAGGGAAGGGAAGGGAAGGGAAGGGAAGGGAAGGGAAGGGAAGGGAAGGGAAGGGAAGGGAAGGGAAGGGAAGGGAAGGGAAGGGAAGGGAAGGGAAGGGAAGGGAAGGGAAGGGAAGGGAAGGGAAGGGAAGGGAAGGGAAGGGAAGGGAAGGGAAGGGAAGGGAAGGGAAGGGAAGGGAAGGGAAGGGAAGGGAAGGGAAGGGAAGGGAAGGGAAGGGAAGGGAAGGGAAGGGAAGGGAAGGGAGAAATAGAGCAATGTAACATAGAAAATTGTAGCACAGCATTGAGCAGATCTGAAGGAACAAGAATCCTGAAACAGGAGCTAAGCCAGTGCTGCTCTGTGAAGTGCTGGCTCATCAGATGCTAACTTGTCTCCTTTATTTCCACTTTGGAGGAGAACAGATGGCTGGGTTGGAGTGAAATAAAACCTAAAAGCAGAAATTGATGGCCAACTTTATCCAAACAATAATAAAAACCCTCATCATGTTCCCAAAAGCCAAAGTGCATTAATGCTTTTCAAATGGTGCTTCCCACAGAAGCAAAAGCTGCATTTGCTTGTTAGCCACAAGGTGACTGTGTGCTTATCAGAGAAAGGGCAGAGGGCTCTGCATGATGCAGTTGCTTGGAGAACAGCTTCACTGGAGGGTAAATCCATGTACTTAAAAGACAGATTCTTCAGACTATAAAAATGAGAAGGGAAAGCAGGATACTTCTATTCCCCATCTTGCTGAGTCACAGTACATTTTCCATCAAAGGATGTATTTGCTAATATGTCACACTTCAATGACACTTGAGGCTCAAAATGGAGCAATCTTGTTTATCTGGCTGCTCTCCAGGCTAGCTGGAGACTTCTGGGCTGTGTGCTGACAACAGTTTACTCAATTAAAAGAAACTGTACTCTCATCCTGTCCCTGGGAGGAGAGAAGGTTGCAACGGAGCATCCTCATGTCTCTTTATGTGAAAAACACAAGTACTTAGACAAATAAAAGCATTGTATTTGGTTTCCCTTTACTCTTATCGTTCCCAGTGAATGTATTAGCTGGAATTAGTATTTTATCTACTAGAAGTTCACAGTAGATAAACATATCTGTCATGAATCGTATACAAAGACTGCCCCATAACCATCAAAATAAACATCTTTGCCTCAGTTTATCTCTGAGAAACAACCCTCTTGACACTGCAATGCAAGGCGATATTGGTAGTGAAGCTAACCCCACACAGTTGGAGTTCTTCTGGCATGTTGTTCTTTCCTCATTTGAGCTGGGAAGTATTCTGGGATCTTTTGGGGAAATCCTACTGAAAAAAGGAGGGGGCCCTCTTGTTTGTGCTCAAGTGCATTTCTCATCTGCCAAGAGATAGCCAGCAATGGGGCTGCTGGATTTTGGGCATATTTCTTAGTGAAGAACATAAGCCAGAAAGTCCAGCATGTCTGTGTCCTAACTGCAGGAAAGCAACATGGCAAAAAAACAAATTGGTCTTCTACTAGACCTCTGCCTTCTTCTGGATCTCCAAGAAGTGTATTAGGCTATCTGTGGCTGCTAAGCATTTGGAGCTATTATTTTTATGTTCATCTCAAAGCAATGCGAAGCATGTTCAACAAACAGATTGGGATAAACTGGTGTTTGTACATCTGGGGCTCATACTCTACTCACAGAATCACAGAATCATCCGGGTTGGAAGGGACCTCAAGGATCATGTAGTTCCAACCCCCCTGCCTAGCAGGGCCACCAAACGTACACATTCAGATCAGGTTGCCCAGGACCCCGTCCAACCTGGCCCTGAACATGTCCAAGGACGGGGCATCCACAACCTCCCTGGGCAGCCCGTTCCAGGGCCTAACCACTCTCCTTGTAAAGAACTTCCCCCTAACATCCAACCTCAATCTTCCCTCCTTCAACTTGGATCCATTTCCCCTAGTCCTGCTGTTGTCAGCCCTTCTGAAGAGTTTACTCCCCTCCTGGGTGTAGGTTCCCTTCAGGTATTGATAGGCTGCAATGAGGTCACCCCGCAGCCTTCTCTTCTCCAGGCTGAACAAGCCCAACTCCCTCAGCCTGTCCTCATAGGGGAGGTGCTCCAGCCCCCGATCATCTTAGTCGCCCTCCTCTGGACCCTTTCCAAAATCTCCATGTCTTTCTTGTACTGAGGGCTCCACACCTGGACACAGTACTCCAGATGGGGCCTCACAAGAGCCGAGTAGAGAGGGACAATCACCTCCCTCTCCCTGCTGACCACCCCTCTCCTGATGGAGCCCAGGATCCCATTTGCCTTTCGAGCTGCCAGAGCGCACTGCTGCCTCATGTTCAGTCTCTCGTCCATCAGGACCCCCAGGTCCTTCTCTGCTGAGCTGCTCTCAAGGACCACTCCTCCCAGCCTGTACGGGTGCCTGGGGTTCTTCCAGCCCAAATGCAAAACCTTGCACTTTGCCGTGTTGAACCTCATTAGGATACTCAATACTTTCCTTTTTGCTGACATGGGCTATGTATGAGTATCAGAAGAGAAGCAGGGTAAAAGGAATTGGCCTACACTAAGAACACACCTTTTGAAATCACCTAAGTAATCTGCTTTCTTTCAGGTCTGTGTCAAGATATACCTCAGCATTCATGACGCTCGAGCAAACTTTACCAACATACATTAGACTGAAAGGGCAGCCATGACATTCATTCAGAGACAAATTCATGCAGTTGGCCTGTGGAGGATGCAAGATGAATGCATCAGTGGAGGTGAAAGGACCACACAGCAGGTCTGTGGCTCTCCAGGACGTTCCCCAAACCATGACACAGGGGCAAAAGAGGGCATGGCACCTAGGGGCATGGAGGCTGCATTATGAATATGGCTAAATGCTGACAGAGATGCGTAATTGATGACTCACCAGCTTTCGTTGTTTTTCAGCTTATTATGGGAAGTCTGACAGATCCAGGTCCAGCCTTTCTCCAAAGGGACTGGAAGCCAACAAGGTGTTGTCTCATTTAGTTTCACTCTTTTGATCCCCAAAAGGAAAGGGACCACCAGGAGAGGGATAGAGTTCGTGGTTTTCATGGAGTCAAAGCTGACAGTACTGCATTTCACCCAATTTCTGATTCAAAGGGGGATTCTGTTTCAAAAACCTTAGTTCTCAGGCATAAGAAAATGAGGTTTGGGACTTCAAAAAAAATAAACATATATATATATATATATATATATATATAGAAAGTGATGCTGGTACAATCCAACTTAGCTTTGGAGAGGATGTGGAAGAGGAGGATGAAGGGAAAGGACAATGAATTTATAATCTAGTTTTTAGCAAGGTGTAAATTTACCACCCAGACTCCCACCCATTATGCCACAGACAGGAAACCAGCTGGTTGAGGGGGCAGTGAGTTTGTTGTTCCTCCTTACACAATGACTATGTGTGTTATTTATTTCACAGGCCTAGCCATAACTGGTATAATTTTTAATCTGCCTCTTGCCTTTTTATGTTTTCAGATCAGCTACACATTTCATCAGCCTCCTGCCCACCAGCAATCATAAAATATGAGCCTTTGTGGGAAAGCAGAGACGTAGAAAGAGTTTCTTATGAAACTGTGGCTGGGATTGTTCCAGACACCTCAGGCCAGCTGCTCTCCAGGCAGCAGCTTTGTGATACAAGGGACAGTAAACGTCAGCTTTGAAAAGTCAGGCGGTCGGGCCTTCTGGCTCCAGGCCCACAGAACAAGTTCTCCTGACTACTGAGGCATGGCTAGAAAAATAAAAGGGCTCTTTAGCGCTGATATCTTTGGATGCTGCTGTGCAATATGGCTGGAATCAGGCCAGGATATTCCTACCTGCTTTGCATCTCAGGCTATAAAGCAAATCCAAACACATCACTCCTTTCCTGGTGCTTGGTTTTCATTAAAATATCCGTTGCTATTCTGTTCTGTCCAACCTTGAACAATGCAGTGTCACTGGGCTGCTGCATTGCCTGTGGTGACTAGAAATAGCTCGTATCACTGGCGGAGTGGCAGAGGTGGGAAAATTATCTTTTTTTTCCAGTCCGCAATGCAGAATCTGTACTATTTGCATGAATTGTACCTACAGAAGATCTGCTCCTTACACATTCCTCATGACTGCTTGTAATATCAGTCAGGTCAAAAGATGGCAATACTCACCAGCAAGGTGTTTTATATAGAGGAGGACACACTTCATATTACTCTTGAGAACCTTTCAGAAAAGGCACAGATGAAGATAAGAAGATGATCATCTTCCATGAATGGAGAGACAAAATAGGCTGGTCTGGCAAAGAAAATTAGGTGAAATCTAAAATCATGCATCTTTCTAGGTAGGTCAAGAAGTGTGCGATGACCCACAGCAGGGGAGGAGCAGGGAACAGTGAATGAGATGATCAGGCAGAGCATTACAAGCAAACTAAAGGGAACACTCTTCCACACAGCAGGGAGAGTCACTACCATATTTTTTTCCATGCCATAACCTTTTGGAATGTCAAAAGTACAAGCAGACAAAACAGTGAACACTGGGCCTGAAAGGTCAAGTTGGACTCACCTTGGAGAATAGCCTGGTCACAGTGGCCAGCTCCAGAAATCCCTGAAGTACAGATTTTATCAGAAATTAGATAGGTCCCTTCTTGTCCTTTCTTTTCTGCTTTTTCAGCAGCTGCGACTGATAACTAAGGATACTGCCTTGATGAGCTTTTGATTTGACTCAGTGCAGCCACTCTCATGTGATTTAACAGTCTGGCTCTGCTCTGGAATGATTCCAACGTCTTCAATGAATTTGAAACAGCAATGATTTCCTACGTGTTTGACAATTCCTGCTTTTGTTTCCATTGCAGCATTTCCTTAGGCTGCTCTTAGCCTCTGAACTTTTCCTTTGAGTTCATGTCTTAGTTCTCTCTGTAGTGCTTACTGTTACATGAAGACAAGCAGAAAAAAAAAATCTCTTGTAGTGTTTTATTAAATTGTCACAACAAATAGTGCTAAATAGGAGGTAGAAACTCAGATATCATGGCTATTTCTCTGGAAAAGGGAGGGTCCATAAATGTCTGTAGTTCCCCAGCCATGCACTGCTCCCAGACTGGGCACAGATCTCCTTCTCTCTCTCTACTTCTCTGTCCAGGTCTTTGATGAAAGGAAATTTGAAGGTCAGTGTCCCAGAAGATCTTCATGCTTCTGTTCTCAGTGAGCAGAACAGCCTTTTTCTTCCACCCAGCCTCTAACAGTCGCAAATACCATAAACTCTTTGGGGCAGGTGCTGTCTTGTCCCTCTGCACTGACGCTGTTTACCCCAATGTAGTTTGGGCCTCTCATCCAACCTAGAGAACAACCTCCTGTCTATATCAAAAGTGTCTCCACCCTCTATTATGATAAGAGATAGTATCATGCTCCATAACCACAAGAAGCAGTGATCTGGCTTAGGATGGAGGTGAAATACTCACTGCAGACCAGCTCTAGCATTTTTGGATGAATGAAACGAAATGCCCACCCTCTGCATTGCTTCAGTTCAGGACACTGTGTGGTCTTGACGCCTGAGCTGCAACATGCATAGCAGCAATGGGACCTTCCTGGTCAGGATCCTACTGCCAGTTCTCCTGGGCTTCTCCCCCTCCTGAGGAAATGATCTAGCGAAACAGAGTAGGGATGCTAAGCACTGTGTTATTGCCTGTTGGAAAGAATGATCTGCATTATCTGATGATAATGCAGTCCACGGACCTGGTGTTAAGCAGTATCCTGTACAATTTATCAAGGACTACATTATGAGCCCAGTTCTCCATCTGTTTCCTGAGAATGTGTTGGAGAGTTCTTCCTTTGTACTACTGTCCTGCTTTAAAAACAAGTCATGTAATTGAAAGGAGCGTATTTGCAAAGCTGGAGCAGTAATTAAGCCACAGTGCCTGATCTCACCTTGACTTGCTCTTTCACAATAGGCTTTTCTTAAGATATTTGGCACTAAGAGAAAGAACTGCTTATTGAGAACCGCCAATGGGCAGGCTCAAAAGAGACAACTCCTGTTTTAATTTCCCAAAAGCAGGGCCATCAAAAGGGCAAAGAAAATTGATGGAACAATTGAAAATAAAGATATTAACTGGAGGGCTGGACTTTTACTATGAATTAACTGGGACAGCCCCTTCTCACTTCTATCCATTCTTCGTCCCATGGTTACAGAGCAGTTTGCTGCACTGCCCCAAAACTCATAATGGAGCTGTACTGTGCCCTGCTAGAGATCACAGAGCTGACCATCTGACTTACGTGTCAGAAAGCAGCTAAACTGCTATTCTGTCTTCCACGTAGTTTCATCTTCCTTGGAAACTCATGAGACATGACTGCATACACTTGTGGGATTTGCTGTCCAAAAGATATCTGATGAAATGAAACTCGTTTTAAATGAGAGACAAACCCACTGCTAAGAGCAGTGCAAAATGTTCTGTTAGAATTAATTTTTAGGGCACCTGATTACACATACCTACTTACATCAGTGTAGATGACTGTGTTATCCTTCCACTGTTAATGAGAGCTTGAAGCTTAATTTTTGTCCACAGACATTAATCACAAGCTTCTTCTAAGGCTCATTGTGCCAATAGGGAACTTTCTGTTGATGATAATGGACTTTGTCCCAGTGTTAGAAAATGGTGTTTATCAGCACGAGATCATTCCAGAATGCAGTTATCCATCTCTTATACACACAATTACCACAACAATTCCAGGTCTGCCACGATTTCTTCTCACCTTCTGAGACTTGCTTTGATGTTCGTTCAAAAGTATGAAACTTTCGCTGGCTAGCTTTCCTTCTTCTTGCTCTATTTTTTTAAACACACTGTTTAGCTTATCCTGCAGCCTAGTTTGTCATGGGAGAAAATCCTCTTTTGTTGAATTATTATAGCAACCAGACACTCCTTCCAATGTGTCAATGATAGTCCAGAATCCTAATGGAGCTGAGCCAAGCTGAACAATTTCAAAAGTGTTTGCCCTTACAGGGCAACTCCAGCTGAGAGATTAAGTATTAGATGGATGCTTACAGTTGGGAGATTCATGCTCATGCTTCAAAATAGGTGGCCCTTTTGCTCATCCAGTTCCTACTAGCAATGCCAGAAATTACACCAACCACCATCACTACTGATCGCTAAGTAATTCTGTCACTCCTGCAAGAACACTTTAAAATGAAAGATATTGCTATTGTTATCTCTGTAGCCAGGGCCTGTACTTGCTTAGGGAATCTGAGGTTGTATGTAAGCTTATCCTTTTGTAGCTTCTTGTTGCATCTATGTTGTTGCTGCATGCTCACTTCAGTCTTGTGACAAAAAGCTAATTGCAGTTATAGAGAACAACTCCCCCAGTTCCTGCAATCCTGCACACTTAGATATGAACCTTTGCTTGAGTACATGTTCTGAAACTCACTGTCAATTTTGCTATCAGCTTCTAAACCAAGTCCTATACAGCTGAGAAAACACATCTGAACTAATGAGTGTGAAAACAGAGCTGTTCTTGTAGTCCCACCTTCTGATCTTTCTGGACATCCTCATTCCACAAGAGAGAGGGAGGACAATGCAGAGAATGATGATTTTGAGAAGCAGTCTTTACAAGGGAGGGAAAGAGATAGTCTAGTCAAGTACGCATGGGGGCAACATTGAAGCAAGCAGAATTTATGTTAGATGGTTTTTCCTTGGCTGACACAGCGGTACAGAAATGGTTGAGAATGGACAAAAAGCTGAGACTGTTTTAAGTTGACTCCAGTTTGTGGAAGATTGCCTCCACTTAGATTGGATGTATGGTACTTTGCCATGCTTTTTGTTTTACAAAAGTGGATGCTGCCGTATGAATACATGACTAAGAATGGTGGCACTTTTGCTCATACTTTACTACATACATCAATATTTGGAGTGCTTCTCTATAGATCATAGAATCATAGAATCACAAGGTTGGAAATGACCTATAAGATCATCTAGTCCAACCGTCTCCTCATCACCATTGCCACCACTAGTACTAAGCCATATCATGCAGCTCCTCATCCAGACGCCTCTTGAACACTGCCAGGGTTGGCGACTTCACCACCTCTCTGGGCAGCCATTCCAGTGCCTGACCACTCTCTGAGAGAAAAAGTTCTTCCTTATGTCTAATCTAAACCTTCTCTGATACAACTTGTGGCCATTACCCCATGTCCTGCTCGTTGCCTGGGAGAAGAGGCCAAATCCCTCTTTACCACAACCTCCCTTCAGGAGGCAATAGAGTGCAATGAGTTCTCCCCTGAGCCTCATCTTCTCCAGACTGAACAATTCCAGCTCCCTCAGCCGCCCCTCATAAGACTTGGCATTGCTCCCACTTCCATCAGGGGAGGATCCAACCCTTAACATTTTAACAGGTACTATACTCTAAAAAGTAAGCATATAAATGGTGGATTAAGAATTGGTTGGCTGGTCACAGTCAAAGGGTTGTGATCAACAGTTCTATTTCAGGGTGGAGGCCGATCACAAGTGGTGTCCATCAGGGATCAGTCTTTGGACCAGTGCTCTTCAACACCTTCATCACTGACATAGACGATGGCATCGAGTGCACCCTCAGCAAGTTTGCAGATGACATCAAGCTGAGCGGTGCAGCCAATACAATGGAAAGAAGGGAAGCCATCCAGAGGGACCTGGACAGACTGGAGAAATGAGCTCATGTGAACTTAATGAGATTCAACAAGGCCAAGTGTGGGGTGCTGCACTTGGGTCAGAGCAATCCCAGGTGTTTATACAGACTCGGTGAAGAACCCCTTGAGAGCAGCCCTGTGGAGAAGGACTTGGGGGTGCTGGTGGACGAGAAGCTGGACATGAGCCAGCAGTGTGCACTTGCAGCCCAGAAAGCCAACTCAGTTTTGGGCTGCGTTAAAAAAGAAGTGGCCAGCAGGGAGAGGGAGGTGATTGTCCCCCTCTACTTGCCACTTGTGAGGCCCCATCTGGAGTTCAGGTCCGGGGCCCTCAGTACAAGAAAGATGCAGAGCTCTTGGAACAAGTCAAGAGGAGTGCACTAAGATAATCAGAGGGCTGGAGCATCTTTCCTGTGAGGAAAGGTTGAGGGAACTGGGCTTGTTTAGCTTGGAGAAGAGAAGACTCCGGGGAGACCTCGTTGTGGCCTTCCAGTACTTGAAGGGAGCATATAAACAGGAAGGAGAATGACTGTTTATGAGAGTGGATAGTGACAGGACAAGGGAAATGGTTTTAAACTAAGATAGGGGAGGTTTAGGTTAGATACTAGGAGGAGGTTTTTCCCTCAGAGGGTGGTGAGGCACTGGAACAGGTTGCCCAAGGAGGTTGTGGATGCCCATTCCCTGGGGGCATTCAAGGCCAGGCTGGATGTGGCCTCTGAGCAGCCTGGTCTGGTGGTTGGCAACACTGCACATAGCAGGGGGTTGAAACAAGGTTATCATTGTCGTCCTTTTCAACCCAGGCCATTCTATGATTCTATGAAATGCTCACATGGA